ATCGCCTCGATGTGTTGGCAGGTATGAAGTGAATAAAACAAATTCACAATTTATGTGAAGAAACTGAAACCACAATTTACGTGTTGGATTGTCTGCAGCTTTGAAATTACCTATGGGATTGTAAGTCATGTAGCACTGAAAGTTCTTGAAACTTCAGCTGACAGACGTGGCACAAGCCAATTTCCACCAGGAAGAGCTCCACTTACACCTGCTGTGCAAGAACTGTAAAACTGGTAACATCAGAAGGCAGCATGTGTGGACAGTTCAAGACCACTAGATGATACTCTGTTTTTACTTTTGTTGTGCATGCCACCTGCAGGTATTTTTACTTTTTTTTTTTGCCTTGGAGGATTTTACATCAACACAGATTGATCTTTGGAAAAAAATTTAGTATTTAAGCATCCTGTCCAAAGACTATTGAAGTAATAAATGACAAGATTCCCCCACTTTCTCCAAAGAGTTCTGTACTATGGCTGCAGCACTTTCATGTTTTCTACTAGCTTACATGATAATAAAAGGTACAGAATCAGTTCTCAGTGCTAGCCACAATGTGCCTGCACCAGCAGAAAAATAAAGACTGTACAAGACCCCAGGAGATAGTTTTCTCACAGTTTTCAAAGATGTAAATAACAAGAGAGCTCAGTCCCACCCCTCAAAGTCAGTGGGGAAAAGAACACCTATTTCCCATTAACAGCTTTGAAAACCTCTTTGTAGGCAGAAAGAGCAGAGAGAGAAGAAAAAGGAAAACAATAAATAAGAACAGATGGTAATGGATTGTGCCTGATAATTTAGGACTTCATTTTCATGTACACAGCAGCCTCTTGACCACTTCTGCAGTGTAAAGGGATTTGCTCACAAATCATGGTGAGATTAATATAATATGTTTGTTTTATATTGTATCTGTAATTCTGGGATTCAGTGTTGTAGTAAAATGTGCTCTTAAAGGCCTTAGTAACTGCTTTAGTAATCCATGATCAATCTGAAAAACTTTGAACATATATTTAATTCACTTCAGGGTTATTTTAGGAAATAACATGGGTGTCAGTAAATTTTCTTGTACCTGTATGTAGGTTGCAATTACCTTAAGGTAGTTTCATTGCTTAATTTTGTGACATGGAAGTTATTTGGAACTGTCTTAGGCTGTAGGTGAAATAACTGTAACAAAACAGTCCTTTGTTGCTGTTTTACTAAAATACCTATTTTTAAGTTGCTGAAAAATAGCAATGTGCTAAAAATCACTTGGACTTCTCTCTTATCTGGAGCAATTTCCCGTGTTTAAAATTAAAATAAAAGCCTGATATATATGTGCATGTGTGAGCGTGTGTGCATATATCCATGCATATGCATATATATTATGTATTGAGATCTATCTAGTTGGCAGTATTTGTAGTTAGGTCTGATTCAAATAGTTTTAAATTATTATTGGCTTTCTTCCTCACTCTTCATAGAGACATTAATTTATAAAATAAAACAGTTTCAGGCAGTACTTTGAAGTGATCCTAATCACAAAATGGTACGTCTACACTTAGATGCAGATGACTTTAAACTCCTAAGTGTTCCACCCTAGATATTTCTTCACACTTTTAAAAAAAGCCTTTTCTTCATGCATCACTCTAATTTAATGTTTTACTAATATGGGCATTCTACGTGTGTTGTAGAATGACACATATGTAGAAACACTCCACATGAGATGGAGTCTTGGACTCAGTCATACTGATAAATATCTGCAGTTATTTTGAATTAATAATGAAGAATTTGACTTAATAGTGTTGTACAAGTTTATGCAGAGCAACTTGCTGATAATCAAGCAGCTGAAGCATATTTCTTTCTTGGTGGGAGTTCCATCAGATACACTTTCGAGAAAATGAAGCCTGAAAGGTCCATAATTTTCTCAAACAGAAGATCTTGCTCAAAACCAACCTTTTTGGGAGCTAGAAGAGTTCAGTTTTCAGAGTACTAAAATGTTTTCCAAAATTTTTAGAGGAACACACACCTCAGAAATTCAGCAGAGCTTCAATATGTTGCACTTCAGTGATCAAAGTCTTTGGTTAAGGATAAATACCAGGCATGATCATCAGGATTACAAGAATGCTGCTTGCAGAGGTGTCTAACTTTGGCTGGAAGAGTGGCTCAGATTCAGCCTAGAAGGTCAGAACTAGCTGAACAGAGCTGGCTTAGACATTCTTGCATTGGAGTCCAAACAATTGCTTTAACTGTCTTCATAAAATCTCAGTTCTTTTGGGGTAACGACTTACCGGTATTGCCAAACCACACATCTAGGACATAACATCCAAGCTAAAACTCAGTGGATCAATCGTTAGCTTTTATCAGATATTTGAACCAGACCTCTAATAAGGGGATTAGTAGCACTTTTTGCAACTCTAAAAAGCCATAAAAAATGCATTTTAAGCTCCTGCTGTTGTATTTCAAAGAGCAGACAGACATTTCTAAGATGTATTTTAATTTTATGGAAACATTGCTTTGGTGTAAACATCTTGTAAAATCTTATTTTTACAGTGGTCTGCATTAGGGGCCAAGTTCTATTTTGCAATAGTCTCCTTTAAATGAGTCACATAAAACCCCCACAGATTTCTCAGGTAAACTGGGAATAAAAATTACGTAGCAATGCCTGGATGGACAAGATTATTTTCATATGTACAATCGCAACTCAGAAATGAACATATGGGATCATGGGAACTACAATGGCTGTTACCCTCTGATTAAAAACTGGCTACCTGGTTCCCTCTCTCTCTCCCGCTCCTCTGTCTATACCTTTTTTTTTTTTTCCTTTTTTTTTTTTTCTGTAATACTAGACTGAGTTGTTTTATATGCCTCTAAACACTGAAGAATCTCTCAGCACAACAGGTCTGAATCTGCATTAAGATGGGGTAACCAGTTGCCTTACCTCTTCAAAGGCTTCAGTTTTCTATGCTTACTTGATAAGTGAATACAAACTGGAGGGGTTGCACAAAACAGCATCACAATTGTTGAGAAATGGAAATTAACAGAGTAGCTGACTGTGTATATGTAAAACAAACTAGAGAAATATTCTTCTGATACTACTGGCAATGAAGGACTGGAATTACTTCATTTGGAACAGAGGGTTATAAGGATAATGGTTTCATATTTCCAGTGGAAAAAGCAGGCCTAACACAAGAATGAGGTAAGAATACTTTCAAAGGTATTGATTAGGAGGATGAAGTAGATTGCTCAGCAGTTTCTTAAGCAGTGACGTAAGTCTCACTATTTGGGTCATCTAGCTTTGGACCAAAAGAGTGAAGGTAACTTGGCTTAAAGTATTAGAATTTCCTTCCAGGAAAAGCACAAACTTTTGTTTTTCTTCTTTTCTTTAATGGCTAGAGATTAGTAGGTTTACTACAGTTGACAGGTGACTGGATCAGCAAACATGAACACAAGGACAATCAAACATTGGAATAGTTTCCCAAAGGAAGTGGTAGATTCCCTCGTGTTGGACAGTCTCAGCTTGACAGGGTGCTGAGCCATCTCATATAAACTACAGTAGTACCTAAAAAGGTTGGGTCAGATGGTCCTTGAGGGCCCTTCCAACATGGCATCCCATGATTCTATGATGCAAAAATCTGCAAGCAGGGTGTTTGTGGCATGACTCGCTTGATATGCACTTAATACTGTTAAGGCTTCATGTGTGACACCTCTCCTTGTTATGTCCTTGACTGTATGTTATTTGAAAGTTGCACCAACAGCAATACAGATAATGATAACCAAGGAGAAGAAAGAAGAGAGAATTAAAAGAAAGAATGTTTTCTAAATACAAATTCTACCAGTAATAAAAGTAAGACAGGAAAGGAATATCTGCTTGCAAATAGAGTATTGTTCAAAGTTAGTGTTACAGAATGGTTTTAATTCCTTATTTTTTCATTGATGCCAGGTGGAAAGACCAGGTGGCAAAATTCAAATGAGCTTTAGCAAGGACACCAAATGTTGTCAGTGCAATACCCACCTAAATTGCAGAGCACTGTACACATTTCCTAGTTTAAAATACACCATGTCTTTGTAAGAAGGGCAGCACCATAACTTTGCTTATCTTATGTGGGTTTTATGGTGTGTGAGCAGCTAAATGTGCAATAAAAAATGGATGTTTTCACTTTTAAAAGTTCATAAACCACGTTTCATAAGAGGCTGGATACCCAGACAATTCTTTTAATCAATTTTTAGAGGCACTCATACAAATGCAGGTGCCAGATTTTTCCCACAAGATCTATGGTGCATCAGTTACAGAGTCTCCATCACTCCTCAGATCCTAAAATTTAAACCCGGGCCATTAAAACTGGGGTCACTGCCAAATTCAGGTCTCATGAATGCACAATACTTTTCACTTTTGGTTAGTCACCATCACTTCAAACCAGCATTTCTCTTTTGATGTTGTGCTTGATTAGCTAGTTTTCGCCGTGTACTTTTTCCCCTCAGTGAATGCACTAGATAGCGTAACTAAGCTTTTTGCAGGATTCTGGATTTTGCAGTCAGCCTTCAGGGATGCTGAATTCAAGAGTAAGGAAACAATAATTAAGAATGATTAGGACAAGAAGTCTTGATACTATAAAATGTGGACTCAATTGTCCTTGACACAGGCAGAACGAGGCAGCAGGTTTTGGTTTTGATTATAGCTTTACTTGTGATTATAATAAACATGAGCCAGTATTCAAACTTTTAATATCCTGCTGCTTAACTATTTCCAAATAGCAATCCAGCTCTCTTAAACAGCCCTTGTTTAAAAATTTTAATTTGTTTGGCTCTGTCTCTGCTTAGAGAAGTTGTAGCCTCATGGTAACTCTTTTATAAGTTCATTTCCAGAATCACAAGCAATTGGTTTTTTTTCAGCTAAGTGTTTCCGCATGTGCCAAAAGTGTCAGGCTGATAGCTTTCCTGCACTGTTTTATCTGGTTCCCACAGTAAGTATGAGAGACAAACACAGGAATGTGTCTAGTGCTGACTATGCCCATCAAGGATACAATGATACTTACAGCTCTTCCAGGAAGCGGAGGTTGTGCACAGGGTTTGAGGGCAGCTTAGTAATGTTGTTCATACTGAGATCACTGTAGGAGAAAACAGACAGAGACTTAATATGGCACGCCACAACTGTGGTATCCAGCTGTTCATTCCACAGATTTTTAAGTACTAGACTAACAAAAATTAGTTCCTCTGCCAGAATTGATGAATCATTATCTAGTTAGCACATTAAACATTCTTCTTTTGTATGAACACAGCTTTGTCAAACCAAATACAGGCTGTAGCATGTTCCTTCTTTCCAAAGGTTTTGGAATGTTTTATCACGCTCTATAAATCAGCTGGAACACTAAACAACCCTTTTAGTCTACATAATTTTAATAAACCGCTGTACTGTATTAAAATTCACTTGGAGTAGTAAAGGAAAACTACTACGATCTTTGTTGTTGTAGCACCGTAACACACTTGGTTGACTAAAGCAGACAGGCAAAAGTGCACAGATACAAACCATCTGCATCTTTCTTTACATTTCATGAAGGTGGAACGTTTTGCTTTTGTGGTACAACCTGCTGCGTGGTGGTACTGATTTGCCTTGCCTCACGTTAGGCACATCAGGTGTCCCCCAAACCCAACTTTCTTGAGTCAAAGAAATTACATATTTTCAAATAATAAACATCCTTTTTTTACAGTCCTCTTTTTTTTTGCAGGTTCTCAAATTGCATTAAATAAGTGAAATGAACCATAAAACGAGGGTGTAATGTGATCCTGCTCTGTAGCACACTTCCTGCTGGGGTTCCACAGTAGTTCCTGGCACAGGAAACAACCAGCCATATCAGCTCTGTCACAGCTCATTCAAGCTATGTTTCAGACTAAATTTCATATACCTTTTTATTCTTAACATGCTTTTAAATTGTTTTCCATTGTCTTCCACATGCCCCATGGTACCATTATAATTGCTTTGCATTAACTACAAAAACTGTAAACAAATTGCATAATAAAATTCTGTGTGGCAGATACATCAAAATTCCTGTAGACTGTTAAAATAAATATGCATGTATTCAATATGCAGAGACCTGCATATTTTATGTAAGCATTATGTGATAATTTAAAACTCCCCATTATTTCAATGTACATATATAAATATATATATATATATATACACATACATATCTTTGTAGCCGTGCTTATAGTTTCCAGCTACTTTGGGTAGAATTTAGATAACTTTATTTCTTCCAGCTGGTGAGAGCTTAGAAGGTAAGTAAGTTATCTGTACTTTGGTGGGTAGGCATCCTATTCCTATCCCATCTAGTTCTTATTACTCACAGTCTGTTTCACATTAGAGAATATATGCTTTTAGTCAGCACAGTTAATTTCCATGTTTGATCTTTTGTTGAATTTTAAAATGTGTAATTTAAAAACATACTTCACGTAGAGATTTTGAAATAAAGGAAATGTGTTAATACTTTACAACAATTATCAAATCACTGCTAGGTAAAGTCTCTGCATTCACTTCAAAATCAAGGTATAATTTGAGAACAGTGTACTTATTCAATTCATTCTTCACTGTAATACTTTATCACCTAGTTCTTTCATACTGTTTAGTAGGTTCTTACCCTTTCACTTTGATAAAGGCTCAAAGGATTTATTCTGGCAAAGGAACAAAAGCATGGATTTATCTGGCAAAAAACTCATCCAGGTAGTGAATAATATGCTACTGAATATTAAGATAAACCAAATATTTTAACAATATCATTTTGAGCATGAAATTTTCAGTATCTCTTAACGGCTTTTTGTAAACCATACCAAAGCACATTTTAGACTTAAAATGCCAGCCTTGGTGGAAGATGGGAGGGATTAATCTTCAAATAGACATATACTTAGGGCATTCTACAAAACCAGCATTAACCAGAGCTCTGGCGAATCAGGGAAACCTGAAGACTGTTCTTCTATCATATGAATTTCTGTTCGGAGTAGGCAGCACTTGTCTGCCTGTATCACCTGCAGGACCCCATGAGGGCACGAGTCACAAGCAATCTACAGATCAGGCCCTAATATCTTAAGAGCATCAGAATAAAAGAAGTAGGCTTTCATTATGTGCTTTGGTGCACAATGAGAGAATCAACAATACACGCACTTATCTTAAAAACATATTTAGACCCCAGAGGTGGATTTATCAAGAGTAAATTCAAACGTCCCAGTGCCCTTTTTGGCCTTTACTCATGTGGTAAAGTATGTGCTCCACATCATATGATGGAGGAGAACCTCTTATTTTTCCTAGTCTACACTGCAGCAGTTGCTAATTTTTTTTAAACCTAACAGTTAAATAACCTCATTCTGTTAGGCTCCTTTTTTTCAAGACTGTTCTTCTCTTGGAATATAACGTACAAAGATGTTTTGGGGCAACAGAATTACTAAACATTACCTATGCATATTTCATAGAATTGTTTAGTTTGGAAAAGACCCTTAAGATCACTGAATCCAACCATTAAGCTAACCCTACCAAGTTCACCACAAAACCATGTCCTTAAATGCCAGGCCTACATAACTTTAAAAAAAGACTTCAGGGAGGGTGGAGCTAACAGAACTTGTTTACAAATTTGCTTAATAACGTCTTTCCAAACTAGTTTTCAACACAGTAGTAACTAATACACAGGCCATTCCAGTCTATGTTGGTGCTGTGTTACTCTTGTAGCTATAGGGTTTAACATTATAACAGAGACTACTGTAGGGAGAGGCAGTATCTTTGAGCTACCTGATACAGCTGGTAAACTGAGAAACTTTCAGGTACAAATGTCAAAAGCCTATATATCTTCTAACTGTGCCTATATATCTTCTAACTGTGCCAGTTGGTTAAATAGGCAACAAGGTATCTCCCCAGAATCCTCACATCTCTTACACTTCCAAAGTACTAGTTCACCTGTGCTCACAGTTTTTAAATTCAGAATATTCCTTTGGGTCCAAATCACCATGGATGCATTTAATACCATTTTTGCTCACTGAAGTAACTGAAGGCCTTATGAAATAAGTCCCATGGCCGAACTACTTCTGGGGGCATGTTTGCATGAATGTGACAAACAAAAAAGAGTTAACGCAATGCAATCAGTCACTGGGTCTCATGTGAGCAATACTGCAAGAGTTGGGCTGCTGAGCAGAAATTCCTCACAGTGCTCCAGATAAAAACAAAGGAGGTTCTCAGCAAACTTGCCAGCCTTTGGACCACATTGTCAAGAAGACATAGCTAGGATGAGATTTATGGCTAGATCAGGCACAGCTAACAGCCAGAAAGAGCTAGTTGATAAATTGTAAGCTTACATATTTTACTATGAAAAACAGTAGCAATTGTAATGGGAATGTCTTATGTCCTGCAGCTGCAACAGTTTCTTTCCAAAAAGTGCATCAAATAGCTTTTATGATTTCTCCTTTTAGTGCTAGCCTGTCAAAATCAGCAATTTGCTCTTTCTAGAAAAGAGAAGTGGAGGCAAAATGGCTTGCGCATCAGGTCTTGTAGTATAATTCTGAAAAATAGTAAAATCAAGGCACTAGGTCTTTAACTATCGTCAGTGGAATGGTTCTGATTTTGCATCAGATTCATTCCCCAATTTATTTTGTGTGCCTGTGCATGTATACTGAGAAACAAACAGTTGAAACTGCAAACATTTACTGTCGAACTTGTTAGACTCTTACAAGCTTCAGTGATGAAAAAGATACAAGTATCACAACACTGAAAATATTTAAGTAAGTTAGTGTAACAGAACTACTCCAATATCCCACCACCAAAGTCCACGCAAACCCCATCAACACCTGCAAGAGTATACGCTGAGTTTTAAAATGCTCCTAAGGTAAACAGCAATATTATCAGATCTACCTTTATGAAAACTACATGCACTGTGAGCTGATGTGCTGTACTGCAAAAGCAACAGGTTATTTTGAAAGCCAGATGAACTCACAGTCTGTTCTCCCATCAGCATTCCTGCAGCTGGTGTCCAACTGCCGACTATAAAAGCTACGCACCAGCAAATGACATTTTTATCTTTTTAAAAGATAAAAAGTTTTGCTTCAATGACTGCATTGGCAATGAGGTTCACTATAATGGTATCTTAATTATACTGTGTGCCAATCAACCACCACAACGTGTCTCTGGCAACTTGCAAAAGAAATCCTATCTGTGATGAAATCCTTGAAGAACGGAAAACCTTGCAAACTGCACCACGCGTGTGTCTGTCTTGATGACTATATGGGTAAAATTGCAAAGCCGAGTCCAAGAAGCCAAATACAACAGGTCTTCCACCTCCCACCCCCCCCCCAAAAAAACCCCCCGATTTGTTCTCCATACATATACGTCCTGAAAAAATATCCAGTTACCATCTTAAAAGTGAGTAGTTCACAATGAATTCCCAAAAGCCAGTAAAACAAGTTAAGGGAACTAGTTCTTAACATAATAGATGAGTCTTGAGGCAAAGCTACAAATCTGTTATTAGCTGTTATTACAAGAGATGTTTCAGTGACTCTTCAGCTTGGAAGATCAGTTGTCCATATTATATTTATGGCTTTTAAAGGAGAAGAAAAATCTGTCTTGGGATATATGCAAGGCTTCTATAGGCTTTCAAGAACCTGTTAATCTCCTACTAAGCTATATGTCAATTATGCTGAATGGTACAAACTTGTCTACCCTTTGCAAGGGTTTTTATGGAAGCCTTTGAGAAATAGAGCACTCACCTAAAAATATGGACAGTAGACTGGATGCACAGAGTTCTTACTGGGAGCAGCTCCTAAACTAAGACCATTTCCTTAATCTACTTACAGCAACATTTTGCACTATCATATGCAGTAATAGAAAATAATGAAAAGGGGTGAGAATGACTACTGCTCCTCTCTTGCTATACCTACCTATTTAACACAGAACTCTTGTTTCTGCTGTTGACAGAATACTTTCCTAGCTCCACTCTATGATGGAAGAACATGCTAGCTATTAAGTGCACACTATCTACTAAAGCAAATGTTCCACTATGGATATTACAAATAAATTCATCTACTATGGCTACTTAAACCAGATAAATCTATTTGCCGACATGGTAGTAGTAGCAGTAGTTCCTACTTCTTAGAAATTAA